GGTTGCTGACCTGCTCAACACACTGCATATAAACTCGATGCAGTGGACGTTTAGAGAGCCTTCCCTTGAGAAACCGAACCTGATGTGGCACTTCGCTTGGTTGACACTCATTTCCGTACCGTCCAGCAGTACAGATCCATCAACCATATCAACACTGACATCATCATCATCATCATCATCATCAGTATCATTATTATTATTATTATTATTATTATTATTATTATTATTATTCCACAGTCTTCTCCCACACATGGTACTTTTCTCCTTAATGTGAGCCAGATGGCGCGACTAACAAATAGGTATGACCCCGTGTGTGAGAGAATAACACCGCAGTGGTGTGGAGTGGGTCGTGCACTGATTGTTAGACAAAACCTCCACACAAAAGAGTTATATAGTTCAAGGCTACTGCCACGGAGTTGGTGGTAGTAGGCTACTGTGACTCAGCTGGTTAGATCATGTGGGATCAGGGAAGAACTTTGTTCTGAAAACACAACCTTCTGGCTACGCGGAATTGCGGAATATCTGTTCCCAGTAAATTCACTGTAGAAGTACTGAGACATGAAATACTTTCAGGAGAACGAACAACCCGTAATTCAGAATTCGGAGACATGTTGGTTTCTTTTCTGAGAAAATGTCGAATAAATGTGAAAGTTTTCCGATCACAAATAGAGACATTAGCTCATTCACTCTACAGTTGCAATGACGTGGCATATAAGTGCCTGTGGCCTCATGTACACATATGACGTCATTACCACGTTGCCAGGGACCGTTTCCGAATCAACAGCACAATAGAACAATCGCGTGGGCTAGCCAATCAGCAGGAAGCAGACCGTTAACTGCTCAGTTAGAATTTGTGTAATTAATTTCACCGATATTTGTGCCGTTATTTGTATTATCCCTTCTTTATACACATTAGCCAGACTGAGCCAAAAGTGGCACATATTGTAGGCTAGTTTGGTATTAACACACTTAGTAGGCACGAGGGGCGTTCAATAAGTTTTGCAACATCAATATAAGACCAAGTCGCAGAATATCTTTTGCACTTTTATTTTTCAATATAATCTCCATTCACCTCAATACACTTATTCCATTTGTCCTTCAAGCTTGTAATACCACTTTTATAGAAATCCGCAGATTGGCCCTCTAACTACGCCTCTGTGGCAGCCTTTATGTCCTCGTCATCCTGGAAGCGTCTTCCACGTAGGGCAGATTTCATTTGCCGGAACAGGAAATAGTCACTGGGGGTTAAGTCTGGGCTGTAGGGTGGACGATTTAACTGTTCGAATCCACATTCACATATGGCAGCTTGTGCAATTCACGACTTGTGAACCAGAGCATGTAAGGAACTTTATTACAGCGCGTTGTTCGTGTTTAAAGGAAGCCATGATACTAAAAAAAGTACTCATGGAAATGAAAAAAACAAGTTTTTTCGACCTCAGATCTTAAATAAATGCAGGTAATATACAAAATATGTAAATATTCAAACAACTAAATTAGTACTAATTAGGCCGTGGCACAAATACAGCGTATCAAATGTTTTTATGCCTTTTTACACGTAAAAGTGTGTAAAAATGTGCATAAAACAGACTATTGTGAAACAGGGCATAACCAGGTGTAAGTAGATCAAGGTGAATGTCCATGACCTAGGACACCTTGACGACAGGTGAGAACAGGTGCATAATGCCTATAGTCTGTTTCTGCTATGTCAATTTGGACAGTTGTATTTTTGAATGTTGAAAGTGCCGACAAATTACCTCCTGTAAAGTACATTTTGTATTGTTCACTTAGATCAAACTAGCAAATCCAGACTAGTACTTTTCGAGTTGTTTTGTTATTTCGTATTTACAGCTACGTAACACTTTGTGTCGATTTTTAAAATGAGAAAAACAGGTTTTTTTAAGTTTCCGTCAGTACTTTTAACTACCATGGCAGCAACTGCAGCATTTAGATTTATTCTTTGCAGACAGAGCACCTGCAACTGTTCTGTTATTAACATCTGGGCAACTTGCAAAGAAATGATTTGATTGAGAAAAGCACCCTTTTCATACGCATTATGTTTTGATCGGTGATCGGTCGACAACTAGTCCCCGACCAGTCCCCGTTCAGTTGCAACAAGTCACCGAAGATTCGCTGACTAGTCACCGATCAGTTGCAAACATTTCGCCGTATCTGCGGTGAACAGTTGCCGATCAATCACTGACAAGTTGCAAAACCTATCGCTGATTGATCTGCGATCATACCCTAATGCCAAATATGGGCGATCGCCATTTGGCGGCAAAGGAAATCAGACGCCAAGAGGTTGCATCGCGGTAGCATTGTCTGTGTGACTGTAGCTTGCCGGGATCGGGTGGTCAGACTCGCTGACTTGGTTGATGCATGTACCCCAATTGTGTTGATCGATGCTAATGATGCGAATCACTGGATTGTCTGGTCCAGACTCGATTATTTACAGACCGCCGTCATATAGCTGGAACATTGCGGGATACAATAGCTAACAAACAAACATCAACAAGGACATAAATAAACATAACTAGATATCACTTCCAAGTTTTACCCTCAAATATTGAATTGCGATTAACGAGTAAGTGAAGGAAGTAAGACATCCCTGCAAAACAATTACTTCTATATCAAAATCAACGGGGCGCTGTGAGGTGCAAAACTCAGTCTGTA